TGCAGGTAGGCGAGCCACCCAATTCTGGGACAGCTGGCCACAAAGCTCCTTGGTGCTTGATGCGTTGAGTTTGCTCAGCGTGCAGGTTGTTTGGTCTTATCTCCATACAGTAATTGATAGGCCGACCCCGAAAAATCCCTGGCCGACCCAACCTCCCCCCCCCAAAGCAAGACTGAAAACATGATTTGAGGACATTCATTAATCATCAGTTCAGGCTGAGCGATTTCTGTGTTTTGCTGGTCGCAGGGCTGTGTTACAGCCCAGCCGAACGCCGCGGATTCGAGCGTTGTTGGTGCCAAATTGCCAAATTTGGCACCAACAACGCTCGAATCCAACAAAGCGAGTAGCTACAAACGTCATTTGTCAACCGGAAAACTTCCTGTAACCCAGCCTCCATCGTGTGTTGATCCTCATTTACATAGGAAGCGGTTTAGCAAGTGAGTATTATCGAGCAAGGTTGAGCCACTTCCATGTCGGGGCTACTTGCTCAAGCATAAATGCTGCCCCCCAGCCTTTCTGCTATCGCCTTGCGAGCCACAGACGCGGTAAACAAGGCGGTGGTAAGCAAACCCGGGGTGAGCCAGCTGAAGCAGGCCTGCCCGAGACGTGCCAATGCAGCCCTCTACTCTCTACTTGGTTCGGGCTGCGGGTCGGCCACCTCGTCCTGGGGGCAGGCTCCGCTGGGGCCTTCTGCTTGGCAAGCAGCTCTTTGGCCGACGGCCTGGACGAGGCCGCGTGGAGCTACCGACCAGCTACATCCTGTTGCGGTAGTGGGTGCAGGTGCGAGCTGTGTGTGATGGGCTGGTCCACCGCTTCACTGACGAGATCTCGGACGGCTTCTTCCGGCGCAACATCAACCAGGCAGCAGCCGCCGTCCCCAGAGCTTGGGCTCCCACAAGTCTTGGTGTTAACAATCGAGCTGGCACTTCTGAAAAAGCTGGAAAACATTCCCCAGCCGGGACTGGCGACATACTTCTCAAACTCATCGGCTACCGGCGCCCAGCCGCTGGCCTCTTTCAAAACCACGTCCTCGCAAGCGGCCTGCAGTGTCCGACAACTACTTCAAGCGCCTGACCGCGTGCTCTAAAAGAGCTGGAAGCCCTTGCCTCAGGCGGGCTATTCTCTGCCCAAGGAGTGTACACGCCAGGGTCTCTATTTGTTCGCTGAGGACCTTGCTGGGGTGGAGCAAGAGCTCTTCTTTCTCGAACGTTTCTGTCAGCCCCGCCACAGCGACATTGGCCTGTTGCGGCCCGGCCGAGCGCTCGAAACTCCAAGATTGTCCACGTAGACATAATGACGCCGTCTCTCCTGATCCCCTCCCACGCAAGGAACCGGGCGTTGGAACACTTCATCCCCGCGCCCAAGCTGGACCTCCAACGCAATGGCCAGCCAGACCCACCCACCTTGCCAACAGCAAGCAGGGAAGGCAAAATACCCACCAAGCCAGTCCGGTTGCCTCATTCGGTGCCAGGTGCGACTTCGGCTGGGAGCTCGGCTTCGATGCGGACAGTGGCTGACCATATCCCCAGGTCCACAGGGGAGTGGCAGCATCCAATCTCTGAGGGCGGGGTGAAGGAGATTCTGCCAGATGTACCAGACATGCAAAACAAGGCTGCAAAGATCATGGGCTTCAGGCATCAAAACGGAAAACCAACGAAAGAGTGCAGTAGTTCGCCATACCGCCATTTCAGTCACACACACACACGCCAGTACGAATACCCAAAAGCTAGCGTCGCCGGTTGAAAATATTGAAGTGTTCGCCAAAAAAAGGCAGCTCAAAGCATCACTGCAACCATGGGGGAGGTCGACGTTATAAACGCCGAAGTCCACAAGGTTGCAAACAGGATCCGGGATAGCAACCAGACATACGGATGACAGCGTCCAAAACCATAAAGTAATGTCCCTAGTGGAGTTGATAAAGTTCGTCACGCTCTCGGAATTGACCTTTTGGTCCAGATCCTTCTTGATCTCATCGATCAGCGAGTTGTGCTGTGATCTAATCGCTCGCACGTGTGATTCACAGGCCTGAGCGGAGCCAGAAGCGGAGCGAACGCAGAGCGGAGGCGGAGGCGCAGCGATGGCGGAGCGATGGCGGAGCGAAGGCGCAGCGAAGGCGCAGCGAAGGCGATGGTGTGTTTTTCGTGAGCGACCTTAGTTGGCGACAAGGGGCTTTTGGGGAGGGTTTCAGGCGGGCTTAACGGGGGGGCTTAAGGGGCTTAAGAGGGGCTCTTCGTGGGGGCGGTGGGGGCGGCCTTGGTGGGGGAGGGGCTTCGCCCGAAGCTGGTGGGCCCAGGCTCTGTTTGAGGATGTGTCTGTCTCCGAGTGGTATTTTGCAATCGTCTCTTCGCGCCCGCGGATTTCGCGTGTGAATCAGTCGAAGAGAATTGCTTGCGGTTTACAAGTCTTTTGTGTGGCCTCCCCTTTTTGCGCATTTCTTTGCATGCAGGTGTGGTTTACAGACGGCGAACATTTGCAACATCCGATGACAGGCTCACTCCCTGCTGGCGTATGGTCCGCTCCTGGTTTTCAACAGCTGATATAGCACGCCTTACCCTTCTCTGGCTTGTTGACTTCATTGCAGGCTGAGTTTTGACTCTTCAATTTTTGGATGGCAGCGATGCGTTTGATCTCCTAGATCTTGTGTTTGTGCCTTATTTGGTCGGACACCCCCATTGTTAATGTGCGGCGACAGCACAGAGTGTGTTGACCTTTTGGTCTTGACTCCTCTCTTTTTGTTTGGACTGAGGAAAGAGCAGTAGGGAGTTGAGGGGCAACCCTCTTCTGAGAGAGCCGCCCGGCTCAGGAGGCAGGGGGATCTCCCTGCCTTCCCTTCTGGGATGGTCCCGTTCCCCGCGAATCGTGCTTGTAAAGCCACGTACGATTCGAGGTGAGTTGCTTGGATTGAAGACGGACCACCCATTCCTGGATTCCACAATTTCCCGGCTGCCTGGATTCCACAATTTCCCGGCTGCAATCCCGGCAGTCACATGGGATACACAGGGAGGTGTGGCGACCAGGCTGCCACCAGTTCATCCGTGCTTCATAGCTGCGGCCCGTCCTGCTGCAATAGCACTTCAAAGGTAATTTGTGAAGCGTCGCCTGCCCGGACCACAGTTGGCAGTTCAAAAAAACTCCAGTAAATGCACAAATCTGCAGGCAGTTCTACTTACATTTTCAAAGTTCGAGGAGAGTCATCGTTCGGTACTTTTTGAGCAATAAGGAAGCATTGGCAAAACAGTGCGCGGAAGAAAGTGTTTTTTCTTTCTCGGGAACCTGCATATGCTTGCACCATGGCCCTGGCATACCCAGCTTACTCGGATTGATATTTGAAGATGTGAGCAAGTGCATTTCCAGCCACTTGAGCAAACATGCGTGTTTTGGGCGCAAAGGTGTGAACTTCGACACGCATAGAAAAAAGGGCGAGCCAAACCATGTTGCAACCAAATGTGCATGGTAGTTCAATCCAGATGAACTGTCACAATTCGATATCGCTACGCGACCCGCCGACGCCATTTTTGATGCGACGACGGACGCCATATGCTGAGAATACCAGGCCGTACTAAATGTCCAAGCCCAAAATGTCATGCTTCGGATGCAACAAATTGGTCAAGAACTAGTTCCCTCACGGTCTTTTCCGGCCTGAAGCTCCGGTCGATGCTGGGCCCCACACCCTTTCTTTTCTCGGAGAAGCTGATGCAAATCCTCGACACGCCAGCTACCGGCTCTTCCAGTTTTGGCGCACTGGAAAGCCACAGCCCATTTGCGCTTGCTCGAGGAAAGCATTTTGACGCCAACGGATTGTTTTTGGCCCCTCGCCGCCTCTGTTTGTGAACGGTCTGCTATGTACCATGCGAACCGAAACTAACAAGCACTACAGCCCCAGCGACGGTAGAGCACAGTAGCTGAAGAGGGCCAACGAAAACACCAGAACCAAAGAAGGGAAAAAGGGGGGGGGGGGCATCAAACAACCCAAAACCAAACAAAAGGGTTTGTTGGTCCCTCGATGTGATCTTGGCCGGCGCAGGGCATCAAGTGGAGAGATATGGCACAGGCCACGAACGCTGCAGGCCTTGGACCTGGCCCTGAAGAAATGGGACAATCACAGCTCTTTGAGTCCACGAGGTTTGGCAGTGAGACGAGGCCATTGATCAGTGCCCGTACCGGGGATGTGCGAGGAATGCGAATGCCTGGGATGCAGCGGGCAAAAAACACTCAAAATCAATCATCAAAAAAGGATGAAAGGAATCCCCTTCAAATGCCGAAATATAGACATCTAAAAAGTGCAATACTGCTGGGGATGATTCGCAGGCCCTATACCAACGGGGACTTCGCACAAACACATCTTTTTCAATGTTAGCAGTTCCTTAGATTGTCACTACACTTGCCCCCGCCAAGACCCCAAACATGCCACAGACAAACACAATTGATATCAGCAAAAACCAAAACAAGTCATGACGCCAAGACAGCCCTGATAATTCTTACCACTGTAGGCAACCCCCTCCCCCCGCGGAGACCTCAACAAAACGCGCTTTAGGCGTTCGAAGACCCGAACCACTGGACAACCAGGGTTTTGGACACTCGGGAAATGTTGCCCCAAAAAATGCCTCCCCGAAAGAAACATGGCCTCTCCAAAAGCCTTCGGCTTTAAAACAAAATCAAAGGAAGAGCAAGTTGCGAATTGCCATCTACGCGCTCGCCTGGCTTCGGCGGATTTGAATCGAATAATTGCATGAAATTACCAGTTGGTCTTGGAGTATTGCAGGCGAACTGCAGCATGGGAACGGCATCGGCAGAATTGTTGATTTCGAGCAGTAGAATGGATGGGTTAAAGAAAACGTTCAGGCAAAAGTTGTTGTAGCAGAAGGACGTTGTGCGTCATTTTGGTGATAGGTGTTGTTCAAGTTTGCTCGAGTTTGCTGCATGCTTCAAAAGTCAAGTAGGACGTAGGATTATCATAGTTGCAGAAACCTGTTGACCAATGCAAATCTGTCCTTGCATTAGCTGCATACTACGCAATCCTGCAAGTAGAAACAGGCTAAGCACGCCCTGCCGAAGCAACTGCGTACTTTGCGCCATGGCAAGGCTCCTGCCTTAAGAAGGTTCATATGATTTATATGGAGGTCAGGACCATGGCTTAGAATGGATCAGAATGCCTCGCAAGGAATCGTCTCAACAAGGAATGGCAGGAGGTCAAGAGGCTTACCAGTTGCAATGCTTTGTCCTCCCACTCTGTGAAATCAAAGTGCTGCCAATCAGGAATCCCGACCCGGACATTTTTTTGGATTTGCCGGAGTCCTTGTTCAAGTAGCCGCAAAACACAGAAGCTGCGGCAATGTGTCACCAAGGGATGGGGACAGCTTCGAACAATGGCAGGCAGTGATCAATGGCCCGCAGGACAGATGGAGTTTTCAGCGCTTTCAGGGTAGTGAGCACATAATTGAAATGCACATTCTTGCGCACTCTCACAATGGATCTGGTGCTGTCCTTTGTGTTTTGAGTCTTGACAGACTCGCAGGACTCACCGTATGAGGGAGGCCGCTTCGATTTGAAAATTATTTGTACAGCGAACTATCCATATGCTGCACCGCAGGCAGGGCCGATGCAGCTGTGTTTAGTCGGTCCGGGATTTGACAAGCTACGATAGCATTGCGTTGTGAAACTTTATCCTTCCGGTGCGCAGGTGAGCTTTAAGACCAAAGTGTTTCATCCCAATGTCAATTTCAGCACGGGGGAGCACCAGCGCTCAGAGCCTTTGGCTTTAGGGAAGGTGCCTTGACATGCTTCTGAGGCTGTGCGTGGATATTCTCAAGACGGACTGGAGTCCAGCTTGGACCTTGCAGCAGCTTGGTCGCAGCATGCTGGTTTGACATTACAAGGATGACAGGCACAGTTGAAACACAGTTCTCGGCATCTCTCAGTCACCAAGAAGACTAAGTGGTGTGAGAAAACTATGTGGCGACTGCCAGGTGATATGAGGGTAGTGTTGGCGGCATGATGCAACACGTTTGTACTGCACATGTTTTTGCTGTATGCATCATATGACAGTGCGAATTCATGTCATTTTGCGAGGGTTGATTGCAACTCATTTCTGGCCAAAGGTATGTTTGTCGAGCGGTGATTGCTTTGTTGCGGCATGCTCAGCTTGCAAGCAGCTGCGACATGTTCAAGCACGAGCCAGCGTGAGTTGAAGAGCAAACATAACATTTGACTATCACTTCAAGATCGGAAATTCACGTATCGCATTTGACTCAGGCGCGATCCCAACGCTGACAGCCCGCTTAACTGTGATGCAGGGAACCTTTTGAGCCACACTGTCCTGTGTAAAATCACACGATCCAGCTGGTCATTTCTATTTCTTCAAGACCTGCATAGAGATGATGGCAGGAAATGGTGATTTGAGGGGCTTCCAGTCAATGGCCCGAATGCTGCTCACTCAGATTTGAACGTGTTGCGTTTCCTGAAGAATCCTAAGACCGTGTCCAGGTACACAGTCGAGCATGCCATTGAGGGCCGGTAAAAATTGACATTCTCCAGGTTTCACCCAGGACGATACCAGTGCGCCCAGCACAGAGCAACTTAGTGCTTTGTTGTGCACTCATCGCAAAGACTATCTATGCGCCAATGTGTATTGAACGTGACCATGTCGCATGCAACAAGTGCAACAATGGCAACATGGGCAGCATGTGCGGCTTGGACCATGATGACAACTTGCACGAGGCATGTTTTGCCCGTTTCAAGCAGAACCCCGCTGCTTGGCTCTGGAGGGCAGCCTTCTACCTTCAGCTCCGAGGCTGCTTTGTAAGCACGTGAGCCGTGAGAGTGAAGGTTTGTGAATTGCCCTCCGCCGTATTGCAGTGGCAGGCTACAGCTTCCTGACATGGCTCGTCCCTTTGCATGCAGTGAGCATCAATCCGCGCTGCCACTGCCCAGGCGGCATCTTCGGATGGAGCGCGAGGTGGGGATTTTGACCGATATGCACGGCGCCGACTTGGCATGGTGCAGGTCGGTGGGTTGAAGAGCCACAGGCACGGTCTGCATGTGCTTGGCTTGGAAATTAAAAGCGATGCTTGCAGGGAGCTTCCGAGCTGCAGATCGCGCGCGCCTCATGAAGTGCTAGCGAGTGGATTCAGCAGCAAACAGTCTTCAATGCTGTTTGAGAAAGAAGCAGTCTTGAACGCTGGAGCTGATCTGGAGCTCATGCCGGATCCTTTCTTTTCAGTGGGAGTTTTTACACAGGCTCAGCTGGAAACACGACTTCGAGCTGCCGTGACGGAGACACGCTCACATGCATTTCAGTTGTGCGATGGGACTTTGATCCCAGTTTTTGTGTTGTGCAAGGAGCTAGTGGAACCCACTGTGCAGAAGATGACAGTCTTGGGGTCCGAGGTCTGCTCCTGAGCCTTCTTCAATTCCAGTTAGCTTGCGAAACTTAGGTGGAGCACTTGACAAGTTCAGTCGCACGGCACATGAAGGAGTTGCTTGCCTGGCTCTATTGACCCGCAGAGTTGGACAGCAAGCGCAGAAGCATATTGGATATTGCTAAATTGCTACATAGCTAAATTGCTATGTTGCTTGATGGCTCGAGCTGTATGCGGTTTGAGTGGTTCGGGGATCGGAGTGCTCGGCAGTTGACTTTTGTGCAACTCACGAAAGACCGGTGACAGCCACGGGCGCTCCAAACAGTGGTGGCGCATTTCGTTGCTATAGTTCCAACTTGTGCAGCCAAGATTTCATTTGATCCTAACATGCAATAAGTTCACGTCCAAAGATGTCGTTGCAATGGCCGACATCAGCGAAGATCGCTTGCGGGCCCAAGTTCAGAAGCTCCTCCCGACTGTCGACGTGAAGACGACTTCAATAGGCCTTGGCAAAGCAGAGCCGCTGTTCGATGTCGAGTTGGGCAGGAAGACTTCGTGCAGCTTTGGAGGAATCTCTTGGATTGCCTGCTGGTGGCCTTGATTCTCGGAAGGCGGGCCGAGTCTCGGTTGTCAAGCACGATAATCACACAAGGCATGCCGTCCACAAGTCTTTCACGGCAGGAGGAGCTGCAGGAGATATTTCGCGCTGAGCTGACCAAAGTGCCAGACGCCATATCCTGAGATCACTGCATTTGCGCCACGTAAGTGGGCCAATCGATATTTAACCTGACGTGCTACTTGGAGCAGGAGCAGTTTCTTGCCGCTTGAATTTGATACTGGTGTCACGCAAGGATGGTGGCGTGCCTACAAAGAAGCAGCGAGTCGACAGTCCGCCTCATCGAGGAGGGAGCCCAGCGATACAAGCATGTCATCAATGTGTTGTGGTGCAGCAATGTTGTTCATGACTCGTTGATTGTGCTGAAGGCGTCTCGCAGCCAAAGGCCAAAGGGTCACCGAAGACGGAGCTACAGCAGGGCAAGAAAGAGAAAGCTGGAAAGTTGCCGGGCTGTGAAACTGACATTTTGCCTTTGAGTAATCTTGGTGAAAGCCTCACATTTGAAGCGACACTTGACTCGCTTTGCGAATTACGCGCAGTCATTGCCTCACTGTCGAAACAGTGCCAACGTGTGTTGTGCCCAAAATGATGCGCGCCAAGGCAGCTCAAGACAGAGAAAGCCAAGGGCAAGAAGGAGACAGCCAAAACGAGTCCTTCCAAAGATGCCCACGGTTTTTCGGTCACGGATGAACCGGAGGAGGTGGCCTCGCAACAGCCGGAATCGCCAGTGCAGCTGGCATCGCAGGAACCTGTGCAGCTCAAAGAGAGCGCAGCTGCACCGGAGTCCGTGCAAGAGAAGACTGTGCAGCCAGCATCGCCGGAGACCAGGGTGAATGTCAGACGTTCGGCCATCCTCAGCGGATCGGAAGACGGCAGCATTCGTTTTTGGGAAGATGGACGTTGTGTGCTTGTATTAGAAGGTCATGCTGGCACAGTGCATTCATTGGTGGTCAACTGGGAGACCTTGGAAGTGATCAGCGGCGCCGACGACTCCTCCAAGCTGTGGAGTCTGAAGCTGGGTGGCTGTCAGCGAACCATGACTGAAACACCAGATGGATGCATGTCAGTGGTAGCAGACTGGCAACAGCGAATGGCAATTGCAGGCTGCGGCGATGGGTCCATTAGAGCGTGGTCCTTTGATACGACTACGGTCCAAGCCAATTTTAATGCTCATCGAGGAGGTGTTTGGGCTTTAGATGCCGATTTCACGTCAAACAGGCTTGCAAGTGCAGGAGATGAGTGTGCCAAAATTTGGGACACGAACAATTGGACTTGCCTATACACTACACCTGGACACGCTGGTGGGCTAACGTGCTTGTCTGTGGATTGGCAAGAGTCGAAGTTGCTTGCTGGATCTGGAAGCACGAGCTCCCTCCAGCTGTGGGTGTTTGATGAGGCCAGGCACTAGTGACTAGTGGCGAGCCTGCCTTCACATGTCTGTCATGTTAGGGGCTCAAGCAGCTCAACCTGGAGCCGCAGCGACTGCTGAGTGAGCCTTGCATGATTTGTGCGCCATCAGCACTCTCTGCATATTGTGTCCGAATCAGCAGGTCACCAAGATGTTGTTCCAGTTGCTTGGCTGGAGGGCTTTCTGTGGCAGCAGTGTGCCCTAGAGCTTAGAGCAAGAGTTGGGACATACGGCTGTTCATGCTGGTGTCAGCTTGATTGCAGTCAGTGTTGCTGGTAAACATCCAAGGATTTGGTTGCAGACTGGGCAAATGGGACAGTTGTGACAGCTGGATGGGATGCTCAACTGATCGTGTGGAATCTTCAGACCAGAAGCGCTTCCCAGATCCACGAGTGCAACTCAGCTGACTTGGCTGGTCACTCGAGTGTCATGTTAGTTGTTTCTCGCCGGCACGTCATCACTCGAGTGTCATCAGTGCTTGAATATCTTAGGCAAGTTTGGGCGTGTGAGATCACTGGCAGTTGATTTCGTGCATTTTCAGGCGGGCTCCAGCAAGCTAGGACCACATAGTGTGAGTGTGACAAACACTGAGAGTGCCAGACAGAACAAGATAGGTGACAAAACATCAATGCAGGCAGTGTGCGGTGCAAGCAATGGAAGTGATGAGCTCAGTCAATCTAGGTTTTCATGTGCAGTCAAAAAGTCAGAGTCAAGTGAGGGCGGCTTGTCCGAGGTCTTCATGTCATGGACTTGCGGAATGGACTACTTCAGAAGACCATGGAAGGTCATGCTGGAGCAGTTACGACGCTTTGTGCACAGCGTATCGGCTTCTGACATCCTGAACGGCAAGCTTCGATCAGATCGGCCCGAGCAAGCCGCAAGTGAAATGGGCAGGGCCTTGGGTGTTTAGACAGTGTCTTAGGAACGACACGCATTGAAAGAAGCTGCTGGATCTGCTGGCGAGCAAGAATTGGAGCATCCAGCATTCCTCTCGCGAGAACGTAACGAAACATGAGCATTAGCATCATGAGTAAAAACTGAGTGCAATTCACAATTTGACATGGCCAGGGACTCTTTGCACCTGGGACAACTCCGATTTCAAGAGCAGGCATCGAGTGATATGCGGGATGCACAGACTCAGCGACTCAGCCCTTCTTAGGTGGGCGCCGTCACTCAGATGAAGGAGGAAATGGCGAGATGGGACAGCCAAAGAAGGGTCTATGAGGACTGCTTGTAGAGTTGCTGGCAGCACGAAAGAAGCTTTCAAGTGGAGTGCTCCTGGCATAGGCCGCTGTTGATGAAAAGCTGGAAGCAATGCTTCATAAATTGGATGCTCAGCGCCACGCCGGCACGTGTTTACGTTTGGCGGGAAGTTCAGGGTAGCATCGCACGAGAAAGTCAACAAGGTCACAGCATTGTTAGTGACTGTTGGGCAAGGGCGTGGATGCCGAAACACATCCTCTGATTTGCCATACAGTTTTTTTGTCGGCACAGAGTCCTGCCATTTTCACACTGCAATTCACAGGACCTTTTTGCGATTGTTGTCCCATTTCCTGCTAGAGTGTGACACATTCACGCCCTCATTGTAAGGGCAGCATTGCTTTTCAGCAGCTCACGTTAGGGATAAGGCAGAGACCTGGATTGATGAGGGTGTGTGACAGCCCCAGCCATAAATAGTCGCGGCCGCTCTTTGATTTGGTTGTGCGAAGACTCCTTGAATGTCGGGGCCTACCTGTGACTCGCCTTGCAGCATGTATACACGCACTCAAACGCAAGTTAGCCAGCTGAGCACACGTTGCGAAGGCCCACAAGCGGGCAAATGGTAGATCTGAAAGGGATCCAGGGGTGCTCCGTCGGCTCCGTTTTCAGCATGGCAAATCCGAGCACACTCTCGTTCAGCCTATGGCACCAAAAGCGGCTGTTTGTCTACCACGTACATACCTGTCTCCAGTCCGAACCCCTCCCCAGCCCACACACACACACACACACTGACACGCACGTACGCACACACAGAGACGCACACATGTATTTTGTACTATATACACATATATATTTACACGCTGACGCGACACAGCCGGCCACCGGGCACCTTGCCCTTCGCGTTCTTGTATTTCCTTTTCCTTGAATTCCCGTTAGCTTCCGGGATGTGAACTTTGCTTCCTTTGCATGTCTCCCCTTCCTGGCATTTCCCTTCACTTCCTTGCGCTTCATTTCCGCTTCAGCTCCCTTCATTTCCTTGAACGCCCTTCATTCGCATTCCTTTCCCTTAGTTCATTGTAGTTCCAATTTCCAGTTTTGCATCGCCAGCATGCATAGCATCATTCGGATCATCCGGGATGATGCTGGTATTGCTGGGGGTGTTGTCCAGTATTAGGCGCCCCCCAAAAAGTGCTCGTTTTGTGACTCTGCGGGGAGATGCTACAAAAATCATCGAAAATCGCCTAAACCAATCCACGAATCCTTCGCCGCTTATAAGGGCAGGCCCAGCACAAAGCGTATGCGCATGGTCCGCGCATGGTCGGCGGCATGGGGCGCGCGGCCTTATACCTGAAGGTAAGCCCTACAAGCTTGGCCTGCGGCCCGATCACGTCCGGTGGCCGGATTTACACGCTGACGCGACACAGCCGGCCACCGGGCACCCCTTCCCGTTCTTTCATTTCCTTTCCCTCCAAGTCTGTGAGTTGTCGGGATGATTTGAACTTCGCTTCCTTTGCATGTCTTCCCTGACAGTTTCCTGGCATGTCCCTTCACTTCCTTCCACTTCACTGCCGTTTCAGCTCCCTTTCCTTGAAGACTTTTTATTCGTATTCCTTTCCCTTTTCGTTCCCGCTGCCCGGTTCCCTTCACGTTCTGCCCGTGCGTTTTCCATGCATCTCGGTTTCTCTCCAGTGCCCTCTTCATTTTTGTGCAATTCCTTTGACATCCATTTTCCAGACATTTTCGATCCATTTCCATTCACCTTTCCCTTCATTTCCCCACACGTCCCTGACCGGCGTGGACAGCACCCCCTGCATCGACTGCATCATCCGAAGCAATGTCCGCCATGGATGCTCAATTGTTGCACCCTGTTGCAATCCTTTTTCCATTCATTCCATCAATGCATTTTCCAGGAACTTTCCATCAATTGTCCACACATTTTCCATCCATCCCCTTTCCCTCCATTTCCCGCATTTTTTTCATCAACGCCCCTTCATTTCCATCAATTTTGCATCCTTTTTGTCCATCCTTTTTCCAGCCCATTCCATCCAGCCATTTCCCATGAATTGTTTGTTCGCATTCCTTTCCCTTTTCGTTCTGTCCGGTTCTTCACGTTCTGCCCGTGCATTTTCCTGCATCTCGGTTTCTCTCCAGTGCCCTCTTGATTTGCGTGCAATTCCTTTGACTTTCATTTCGTTCACTTCCAGTCACTCCTGTTTCCTTGCATTTCCCCTTCAGCCCCTTGTTTCGCATCGTCAGCATGCATAGCATCATCCGCATCATCCGGAATGATGCTGGCAATGCTGGGGGTGTAGTCCGGTGTTAGGCACCCCCTAAAAATACTCGTTTTTGGACTCGTTTCTGGACGCTGCGGGGAGATGCTACAAAAATCCTCGGAAATCGCCTAAGCCAATCCGCAAATCCTTCGCCCCTTATAAGGGTGGGCCCAGCGCAAAACGTATGCGCATGGTCGGAGCATGGTCGGCGCATGTTCTGCGCATGGTCGGCGGCATGGGGCGGACGGCCTTATACCTGAAGGTAAGCCCTGCAGGCTTTGGCCTGCGGCCCGATCACGTCCGGTGGCCGGATGACGCGACACAGCCGGCCACCGGGCACCTTGCGCTGCCCGTTCTGTCACTTCCCTTTCCTGTAAGTCCGATTAGTAGATGCTAAGATGTTAAAATTCTAAAAACTTTGAGATTCTAAGGGTCTCAGAGTTGAAGACTTTCGGAATTGAAGGTTTCAACGGTTTAAGAATTAAGGTTTTAAGATTCACAAAATTTAAGGTTTTTGAAGGTTATAACAGCCAGGCCATTGCGCAGCCATTTTCCATCTATTATCAGATTTCGAAGGCTTTAAGATTTTATGTTTTGTGAGATTTTCAGATTTGGCGACTTTCGGAATTTAAGATTTTAAGATCTTAAGATGTCAAGACTTCAAAATTTGAAGATTAAATTAAGAGTTGAAGGAATTTAAAAAATAGCCCGGATTGAAGGAATTTTCTTATATTTTAGTTGTTTATGAATTTAAGATTTTCAGATTGCAAGAGTTCGAGATTTAAAGAATTTAAGTTTTTGAAGCTTTTAAGATTCTGAGATTTGAAGATTTTGAGAAGTTAGGAAGTTCATATTTTAAGATTTTAACATCTGAAGATTCAAAGACATGAGGGTTTTAAGAAGTCAAGATTCGAAGACTTTAGGATGTTTATATTTTCAGGCTGTAAGATTCTAACTTCTAAGGTTGTAATTTTAAGATCTTAAGGTTTCAAGATTTCAAAATTTCAAGATTGAGAGTTTAAGGAATTTAAAATATAGCCCGGATTGAAGGAATGTAATATTTTAATAATTTAAGATTTTCAGATTTCAATTGTTCGAGGTTTAAAGAATTTAAGTTTTTAAAGCTTTTTAAGATTCTGAGATTTTAAGATTGTAAGACTTTAGGAATTTCATATTTTAAGAGTTTAAGATCTCAAGATTCTAAGACATAAGGTTTTTAAGATTTCAAGACTCGAAGACTTTAGGATGTTTTTATATTTTCAGATGTTAAGATTGTAAGTTCGAAGATTTTAAGATCTCGAGATTCTATCATTGATTGTTAGATTTTAATTTAAGATTTTAAGAATCTAAGACTTTAGGATTTTGAGATTTCAATCCAGGCCATTTTCCATCCATTTTCCATCCACTTTAAGATTTCTCAGATTTTCAGGTTGCACGTTTTCGGCAAAATTGGCCCGACTTAGGGGACAACATCCCCAGCATCCCCCGAGACTTTAGGATGTTTTTATCAATCCAGGCCATTTTCCATCCATTTTCCATCCACTTTAAGATTTTAAGATTTTCGGGTTGCACGTTTTCGGCAAAGTTGGCCCGACTTAGGGGCAACATCCCCAGCATCCCCCGAGACTTTAGGATGTTTTTATATTTTCAGGATTTTAAGATTCTAAGTTCGAAGATTTTAAGATCTCGAGATTCTATCATTGATTGTTAGATTTTAATTTAAGATTTTTCTATGACTTTAGGATTTTGAGATTTCAATCCAGGCCATTTTCCATCCATTTTCCATCCACTTTAAGATTTTAAGATTTTCAGGTTGCACGTTTTCGGCAAAGTTGGCCCGACTTAGGGGACAACATCCCCAGCATCCCCCGCATCACCGGCATCATCCGCATCAATGTCCGCCAAGGATGCGGATGATGCGGGATGTTGTCCACTATGGGCACCCCCCAAAAAGCACTCGTTTTTTTGACTCCGCGGGGAGATAAAGCCGCCAAAAATCGCCTGAACAAATCCGCAAATCCTTCGCCCCTTATAAGGGTGGGCCCAGCTTGGCGCCGCGCAAAAGTTCGGCGGTGGGTCGGCGGCATGGGGCGGACGGCCTTATACCTGAAGGTAGGCCCTGCGGGCCTAGGCCTTCGGACCACGGGGTCAGGGGCCCCCGGTGGCCGGATTTAAGGGCCGCCGCCCAGTGCTGCCGACCCCTCCACTGGAGGCCAGCTCATTTTTCTTTAGTTCTGGCAGCGGCTGTTGGCTGGTTCAGGCTTGCTTGCTTGTTTGCTTGCTTGCTTGCTTGCTTGTTTGTACGGTGCATTTGCGGAATGAGGCTCGAGTACAGTAGCCTACTGACGTGTGCGGAAATCTGGCAGCGCAGCGCAAAAATCTTGCGCATCGGTCCTGCATGCCTGCTCGCAAGAACAGCTTCGCGTACAGCGCGCTAAGAGGCCGCGCTCGTTTTGCCACAGCGAGCACCAGGCAAAGGAGTGCGCCGGCAGCAGAAAGGAAACGGAAAGCAAGATGGGAAGGGATCGTACATGCAGTAAAGCTATGTGTCCAAAGAGAGCGGCCAGCTACAAAAGCTTCGCTTCCCGCACTGTTCCAGGCCGCACTCGTTTGTCCACAGCGAGCACCAACCAAAGGAGTGCGCCGGCAGCAGAAAGGAAGAAAAGAGGCCGAACGGGCGGGCCCGCACTCGTTTGCCCACAGTGAGCACCAACCAAAGGAGTGCAGCAGAAAGGAAGAAAACAGGCCGGACGGGCGGGCCGTGACAGAGCTTCAGCGCTGAAAGCTGTGCCCGGGCCGTGACAGAGGTTCAGCGCGGAAAGCTGTGCCCAGCAGGTAGATGAGCACTCTCGGCCTCCTCAGCTCAGAGGCAGTTGGTGTAGTGGCATCACACCCGCTCAGCATGCGAGAGGGGCCGGGTTCAATCCCCGGCCTGTCCATGCCCATGTGCGGGTGCCTAACGTCGCGTTCCAGCCACAAAAGCTTCGCTTCCCGCGCTTTTCCAGGCCGCACTCGTTTGTCCACAGCGAGCACCAACCAAAGGAGTGCGCCGGCAGCCGAAAGGAAAAGGAAAGAACAGAAACCTCTCGGGCTCCTCAGCTCAGGGGCAGTTGGTGTAGTGGCATCACACCCGCTCAGCATGCGAGAGGGGCTGGGTTCAATCCTCGGCCTGTCCATGCCCATGTGCGCCTGCGTCTGTCACAGTTTGCCTATCCCTGGTCTTTCTCCCTTTGGGTTTGCTGTGCGTCTTGCCAAAGTAGAAAGGCGCAGCCAGCAAGAACAGCTTCGCGTCCAGCGCGCTTGGAGGCCAAAGCTTCGCTTCCCGCGCTTTTCCAGGCCTTGTCCACAGCGAGCACCAACCAAAGGAGTGCGCCGGCAGCCGAAAGGAAAAGGAAACAAAACAGCTCAGGGGCAGTTGGTGCAGTGGTATCACACCCGCTCAGCATGCGAGAGGGGCCGGGATCAATCCTTCCCGCGCTTTTCCAGGCCGCACACGTTTGTCCACAGCGAGCACCAACCAAAGGAGTGCGCCGGCAGCCGAAAGGAAAAGGAAAGAACAGAAACCTCTCGGGCTCATCAGCTCAGGGGCAGTTGGTGTAGTGGCATCACACCCGCTCAGCATGCGAGAGGGGCTGGGTTCAATCCCCGGCCTGTCCATGCCCATGTGCGCCTGCGTCTGTCACAGTTTGCCTATCCCTGGTCTTTCTCCCAGCAAGAACAGCTTCGCGTCCAGCGCGCTTGGAGGCCGCACTTGCTTCAGCGACCACGAACCAAAGGAGTGCGCCGACAGCCTGCTCCCGCAGCCGGGTGCCTAACGTCGAGTTCCAGCCACAAAAGCTTCGCTTCCCGCGCTTTTCCAGGCCGCACTCGTTTGTCCACAGCGAGCACCAATCAAAGGAGTGCGCCGGCAGCCGAAAGGAAAAGGAAAGAAAAGAAACCTCTCGGGCTCCTCAGCTCAGGGGCAGTTGCGTCTTGCCAAGGGCGGCTGCCCCCGCCGCGGCCGGGCGCCGAACGTCACTTTTGAATCCTATATAGAAAGTAGAAAGCTATAGTAGAAAGCTATAGAAAGTAGAAAGCTATCGGTCCCCAAAGCGCAACCAGCAAGAACAGCTTCGCGTCCAGCGCGCTTGGAGGCCGCACTCGCTTCAGCGAGCACGAACCAAAGGAGTGCGCCGGCAGCCTGCTCCGCCGCGGCCGGGTGCCTAACGTCGCGTTTGAGTCCAATATGCAGTCAGGCTATCGGTCCAGAGGGAGCGGCCAGCCACAAAAGCTTCTCTTCCCGCGCTTGTCCAGGCCGCACTCGTTTGCCCACAGCGAGCACCAACCAAAGGAGTGCGCCGGCAGCCGAAAGGAGCAGGAAAGAAAAGAAACGAAGAAGAACAAGAAAAAAAGGAAAGAAAGAAGGCTGGTAAGGTGCAGGGCTGAACGGGCGAGGGCGAAAGGGAAGGGAGAAGGCTGCCACAGTCACGCTCCAACGCTAAACGAACACTCCCCCAGCGCCTTCCCCTTGCAGGCAGGGGGTCGGCGGATATAGTATAAAGTACACCTACGCATGTGCACAAGGAACAAGGTGGGAAAGGTGCATGATAGCTCACACTCGCTGAGGACGCCGTCACAGACGAGACACACGTCAGAGACTTCAAATTTGACACGGTCTGCAGAGACATGTCAGGCTATGCCCTTGAGCAGAAAGAGCAGGCGGCTGAGCCTTCTGACTTCTTGGCGTCGTCATTGACCTCACCGAGCATCTCAGGTCCACGTTGCACCACTTGAATCGGAACCTTGACCGGGTCGCAAGTGAAGTCAACAGGCTTGTCGAGGACACATGAGTGCCGTGGTTGCTAGGTAATATGTGTGTTTTGTGTAGCTGTGTGCACACTGTGTTTGACTGGGTGTTGCTGTGAGGACCAGGATTCTGTGCGTGAGGCGTGTGAAGCTCGTGTGGCGAGGGCCTTGGTACTTTCCTGGACCCTCTAGGACGGGCCGGAGTGCCATGAGTGTCAGTCTTTTGCCTAAGGATGAGCAGAGCAAGAGACTTACCCACTTCAAAGCGGAGACAGAGGCATGCCAAGCTTGAGTGTAGTGAATTCAAGCTTTGCATCAAGGTTTTGTTTCATCCCATTGGCACGGATTGGCACCGGAAAATGTGCTTGGATGAACACACCGGTTGCCCAAACTATCCACAGTTGTCACACTTTCGGCGTCTTAGGCAGTCTCATGCTGGCAGGTCCGTTTTGCCAGTGTTGAGCGCCAACACAACGCTCTGAGTGACGAGCTTTGGGGAGACGAGCTGGGCTTGGCAAAGGAGCCAGTCTTAGTCAAGCATTAGATCACGATTCCATGTAGCACAACCAGTGTTTGCTTGTCTTCACTGACATCGTGTCACCAAGATAGCTGGAGAGCTCAAGAAGACTAACGCAACATTTGGAAAATTGGAGGACGTGTCACATTTTTGCTCTTGTACGCTATGTCTGTTTTAATGTGGAGCTGCAGGATGCCGTCGCTGCTCTTCAAGAAGGGAAGGCAGAAGCTGTGCAGCTCGAGAAGCTGCGGGCAGATGCCGGACTGCCTTGCTTGGGTCTATTCTCAAAGCTGAAAGTTGAGAAGTAGCCAGGTGGCAAAGATGGTACATGAAGCCAACACATCCACTTCACAGATGCGGCATACTGTTGGGGAGGCGCGTTGCAGAGACTTTGAGACTTGTATGGGTCGCCCAAGACATGAGTTCGGGATCAGCTGCCAACACAGGTTGTCAACGATGTGCGGGAGCACTTTCGCACAGCTTCAGAGACTATTGCCTCCCACAATGCAAGCTTCGTGAAGCAAGTTCGAGAAGAGTACCAGGCGTGAGCCTCTGAGCCTCTGAGCATTCTGAGCCTCTGAGCCTTTGAGCGGTTGTTACCTTGCCCTCCTCAAAGCAAAGTCACGTGGGCCTTGGGCCAGGCAGAGCTTTCCAGCTCTGCGATGCTTCGGGAAGAGGCAAGCCGTTATTTGTATCTCTTATTTCAAATCATTTATCTTATTTCTCTTATTTGAATCTTGGGATCGAGCCCAAAGAATGAGACACGAGATCTCCAGGTGAAGAGCTTCATGAACCGAGCTTCACAAAGCGTGGAGAGTCTCGAGCTCCGCGTGGATGAGGTTGGATCCAAGGTCGGTGCCTCGAGCTCGAGCTGGACAGTTCGATGCCTCGGATGCGCAGGCAAATGCCTTGGCCGCGGAGGCACGCGAGGAGTTGGAGGCCACTCGTCGCAAAGAAGGGAAAGGATCGAAGGATTTCGGTTGTTTTATGTTGTCTTATGTTGTCTTTCTGGACTGGAAATTCCGAAACTCGGCTCAATGGATTTGAACCCAAGGAACTCAATCGCCGGCGAAAGCGAGACAAAACATCTGCAGACAACGAGACTTTCGGCTGCAAGTGGGCATCACCAACACGGACGCGGCTTGCGCGAGCTACTTTTGAGGCTGAAGGCACTGAAGAAACGCCTGGGTGGAGTATTTGATAATTCGGACGTCAGATGCTTGGAACTTTCACGTCTTTACAATGCCTCAAAGTTTCTTGGGCTTGGGCCCGTGGCTGAGGCTGTCCTTCGTGGCCTTGAGCATATCTATTCCGTGCCGCCTCCTTTGAGGGTTCTTTTATGGCACCAGCAATCAACTGCTTGAATAACAATTCTGCTAGGCTGCAGCCCGTGCTTGAGAGCGACTTGATGCAATGTGCCCGAGTCCAAGATGGCTGTCTGAAGAGCGTGGCGAATGCCAGTAAAGCGAGATTTGCCCATTCAGCCTGTCGGCCTGCAGGCACTTGAGAAGCAAGATGCCGTTGATCGAGACAGGATCTCCCTCATGGGTGTCTGACCCTCATCAGCGCACGCAGACGTTGAACCTGGACAGAGTCCAGACACAGCAAGCACGGGAAATTCACAAAATAGTCAAGGCTTCTGATTGCTTGACACAATGGACATGAGCCATGGGATCTCCTAGAACTCCAAGGTCAAAGATGATGAGAGCGGCACCAAGTGACGGTGTCAGAATACGCATCAGCATGTTTCCATATATCCGCACTCGTCACAAACAAGGCTGACCTTGTCGCGCTCGACGCACACCGAACCACAACGACCAAGACCAGAGTGTCTGCAGCTTGTACCACTCATGATCCTATGCAACTTGACGACACGCTGAGGCCGAGTGAAAACAGCGTCCGATACTTGAAGACTGGTATTGACGGTGCAACGGTTCACCCAAAAGGCCCTTCTGGGCCTCTTTGCCCCTTTTTTAAGGCCAGGTGGGATGAAGCCCTCGAAGACGGATGGCCATGGCCCGCAGGCGCTTTCCAGCACCAAGCATCCTCAGCGTAGGATGCCTGAAATGGTGCAGTCGTGGTTCGCAGTGGTGCAGGTACCGCAAAGGCCAGTGGTTCGAGTGGACAACCGCTGTGTCTCGTGCAGCGGCCAGGCAGGACATGTCATCATGTGGATACACTGTTGCGATTCCTCAGATTGCGTTGACCAAGGCTCCTCTTGTTCTAGCAGCATTCAAGATGGCTTGCTTACACTATGCGTGATTTGCTCAGAGTGTGTGTGTGTGTGCGCGAGAGTTCGATGCTATGTGGGTCGAGAGGTAGCAAATTCCCTGACAGGCCCTCACCTATAGAGCATAGAGGCCAAATGGTTGAGAGATATGAGCTTCTGGAGCGAAGAGAGCAGCTCTTGCCCTGCTCTCAGCTATTTGGGGCATCTCGTGAGTGAATCGTTGCTTGGAGTCAGGCTGGGCGCGAACCGGTCTTTGCTTCAGGGACCTGGCGCCCTGAGCGCCCTGAGCGGTGATGGAGGCGTTGACTCAACTTGAGCTCGGAGCGCTTTTCGTTTTTCGCGCAGGAGATGATCTCGGAATGTCTGCCTCAGAGTGTGGTGGTTTCTGAGATTGAAAATACAGCACACTTCTTAGGTCTTCATTAGCAAGGGGTCCACATGACGAGGAGAGCATGCGAAGTGTGGTGAACGCTTGAACACATTGCAAGAACAGATCCTTGAGAAGCTTCTGAATGTGCCTCCCGGAGGAGAAGGGTGACACCTTCACAGACTACACATTTGTCGAGGCCGGCGCATTTCTACTAGTGCCCGCATCAACGCGTTCCTCAGTTTTCTGCAGTGGGTTTTGGCCAGGAGCGAGGCCGTGCAAGGCCTGTTGCAAGCAGAATCATGTATTCGACGTCGTTGAAGCAAGCGGAAGGCCAGCCACTGGAAATGGAGTTCGCCTGTGCCACCCTAAATCTTCAGGCCACATGGCCCCTGCTTGCAAGCCTGCAAGGCCAAGTGTGCCACCTGGGACCCCACGCGTGGTCAGCGTTCGATGATGGCGCAAACTTTGTGCTTAGGGCATGTTCGTCAAAGGTAGATAGGAGGTTTCACCAGTCTGCTGAAACATGTGGACATTTGCCTGTGAAGGGATTACTCCCACCTAGAGTCATGCAGCGTTGCTTAAGTTGCAAGCAGCTGTACGTGGTGGAAAGCAGGCAAAACCAAGAAGACAGAAAGAGAGCCCCAAATTGGTGTCAGCAAGTCAAGGCTTGGACGGAGAGTGGCACTGATAGCCTTTTGTTAGCCAACCCTTGCCAATCCTTGGGTCATTTGGGCTCAGAATTTGATTGCTGCAAGTCCTTAGTCCCAATGGATGACGAGAATGACAGGCGGAGCCACGGCTGTTGCACTTTGCATCAACTTTGCATCCTGCAATTCCGCCATCTTTCTTTCCGAGGGCACCAGTTGGTCCCCTGGGCTTGCGCCCTGGAGATCCAGTTAGGCCTGGCCACGTGCCTCATTTGGAGCCTGGCTATGCTACCGCAGGCTCAAAAGGCTGCAAGCGAACAAGAGCATGAACGGTTTGGTGGGCTACTTCATGAAGCTTGAAACTGCAGAGGATGGCGGGCGTTACGTCGTGCCACCGCCATGTTTCTCAAGGTGCCGCGAGCACAAAGGCTATCCTAGGGGCAAGGGCTTGGACGAAAAGAACATTGGCGTGGCACGAACTTTGGCAGCTAATTTTGCAAAACGTGATTCCTTTGCCGACATGTCAATTCTCAAGAGTGTGGTAAGAGTCTGCACTGCGCCAAGACAGATGAATTGAACCCTTTGCGCTTGAAAAGCTCACACATCTGCAGCACGAGCGCAGAGCTTGAGCATTTTGGATGGTCAGCCTTCCAACTTAGTGTTGTTTTGACAAATTGACTAATTAGCCAGCAAGCCTGGCTGGCCGGTTCTTGTAGCTGCTTACTTGCATCCCGAACAGAATGTTGCTTAGCTCAAAGAGTTTTTTTTGAGTCTCTAGCCCAATTTATTCACTACCTAGCTAGCCAGCAAACCAGCTAGTAGGCTAGCTCGGTGCTGGCTGGCTAGTTCGATGCGGCTGGACGCCGAACTAGCTAGCCAGAGAACATGCTGACCCTCGTCTTGCCAGCTAGCAAGCTGGTCCGCTCAGAAATTAAGCAATCAGAGAAAGTAGCCAACCGACAAGCAAACTAGCTATGTAGCTATCAAATAACCCAAGACACGGTGTTTGCCATCATCCCGTCCCTGCTAGTGTTTTCAGATTCGGTGACAGAGGGGACCTTGGCAAACTAAAGCAGCGGCTTTGGGGGGTTGGGCGGTGGGGCACCAACGCATTAGTTGGGTCTGGAGAGTTTGGTTTGGAGTGTTGCAACACAAAGGCAGCGGCCACAGGGTTGTGGCCGACTGTTGCTGTGTGTGTGTTTGTGTGTCACCGAGTGTCATTTGGCCATACACAACACCGAGCCAAAGAAGGCTTGGCAACAAGTGCGTTTTGAAAAGGTAGTCGCAAAGCACAAGCGCACATCGGGCAATCATGGGCAGCATATAGACAAGCAACGTGTCATGTACACCCGAGAGTACGCGTAGTTGACTTTTGGGTTTACGGTAAAGCCAAGAGCAGGCTGACGAGCGGATGCCCAGCTGCGAATGAAACCACGACGTATCTAGCCAGCAAATCGACTCACCAACTGCTTTGCTAGCGAAGTGGCAGTTACTCAATCGAGTACGGAATCAACTTACAGATTCCCTTCATCTACTGAACACTGCTAAGCAAGTCATCAACTACCTAGAGTAGGAAGCTCGTATGCGAATGAATCCCCTGCTGTGTCTCGACAGCTGCAATTTTGCCGTATGAAGTCATACGACAGGCTCGCTTTATAGGTACTTTCAAGAGCAACCATGAAAGTTGGAATCTCCAAGCCTGAGAAGCGCCACTTTCCAAGTGTCAACTTGAAGAGGAAGCGAGCAAACATTCTGGTTCCTGCACTAAGCAGCGATTCCCATCGAATCTATCAACTCGTTCTGCAACCAAAGCGACGGGCACTATAGATACAACTGGACATCAAGACGCCCCTGAAAACGACAGTCCAGAAAGAAGCTTTTCATGTTTGTTGTGCACGCTCTGGGTACATGCCATCATCCTTGTTGTTCCTTTGAAGCTAGGTGGAGCTGGGCAAGCGTGGGCCTGTGCGAGTCCGCGAGATCAATGTGGAGAAGGCTCAGCTTGTGACAGGTTTAGTTTGTCGGTGAGCATTGGAATGTGCTTGAGAGACTGACCAAAACGTCGCGCATTGTCCAACATGAGTACGACTTCTTCCAGCCATTTGGGAAGGTGGGGCCCACCCGGAGGAGTGAGCGTTGTGGCCCCAGTGCACTACGGGGAGATTCAGAGATGCAGCCCGAATGTCAGGCCTGGCTGCCCGAGAGGAGGCGGCTGATCAAGATCCTGATCCAAATGATCTGGATGCAGATCCCGAAGCGGCACCATCCAAGAACAAGAAGCGGCCTGCGTGGCGGCCTGAGACGGGAATACCGCATCCGTTGTGACGTGCCGCAGAGCGCATATTTTTTCCGGGGGAAGCGACTGGCTAGTTTGAGGCCTGCTGCCAAGGAGCCTTGGCCTGGTGTCGATCCTTTGGTCAAGATGAAAGTGTCTTCGCACTGCAAATTCTCACTCTGAGTCAAAGTAGCCCAGGCAGCTTCCAGAGCAGCTAAAGCGCGGCCAAAGGCCAAGACGACCGTCAAGAAACCTAGCATCCCAGATGCAGAAATGCAATGACAACTTATGCAGACCGTGAATCGAGGTCATGGAAGTATCTTCCCGTACCATTGTTCCGCTTGCCGTGGCCTGACCTTGATATTCCCAGGCAGCTTTGCGAAGAAAACAGCCGCGCCCAAGCCTGGACTCGGACTCAGAGGGCTGCAACTAGTTTGTTGCACTTGCGCGCGAAATTTCATGTTTCTGGATGAGGTTCGCTTTCAAGGGCTCCTGCTTCGTTTAATGTGTAGGAAGCTCAGTTGCTGAGAAGGCTTGCCACAGTGCACGAAGCTGTGATCTTTTTTGCCTCAGACTCGACTACCGAATTTGCTCTGAGCCATCCTTGGAGGCCTCTCTTTTTGCACCGATCATCTTTCTTCGATGCGGGTGTTGCAGGTGCAAGATGCAAGCCAGATGAAATGGCGCCCTTGCCACCTTTACCAAAGCGGACGACTCAGATCTAAATATGATCATTGATGACATGGCCCCCGAGTGGGACATTGAATCTCAACGGCTTTTTATTATGAGCACTGGGCATTTGAAAGGTTTGCAGAACCATATTTGAGGGCTGCCGCGTTGGCCAGACTAGCTTCCCTAGCATAGGCTTTGTGCGATGTGGGGAGGTTGCACCACATCCGAGTTTTGGGAGGGATCTGACCGCAGTCCAAGTGTGGCGTTAGGCTTCGGTGGTGACGCTTGGGATGTTGCCCTCTCGGCCTCATTTTCTGCATTCCGAGCATCACCTCCGATTCTTAGCGTTATACATTGAAAATGATGAATATAGTCTAGTATAGAAACAATGCTGACTCAAGCAAAACAATGTTATGAAGTAATTAATCGAGGCCCGATGAAGCTGCCAAACAAAGGCAATTCTTTAAAGCCACTGATGAAGCATCCCCAGCATCGCCAGGCAAAGGCGGCTGTTCAAACTACCCTTCCGTTGCACCTCCCCTCGGATTCTTGTGAAACAAGTTGACCTTCAACTCAATTTGGGACATCAAAGCCCTTGAACACATTTGGTCATGTCCTCTTGAAAGACAGGTGGGGTCAACCAATCCGTTGCCTCGGCCAAGGCCTTCGGGACGGCCGCATCGTGATCTGGTACGGCGGCTCCGAGCCAGGGCCTGAAGGGCCTCAAAAGCCTCCGGGCTCGGGGCAGCTGAGGGGGACTTGGTGGCTGCGGAATTCGCTACGAATAGCTTTGTCACTTGGCTCAAGTGGCTCAGGTACGAGGGCTTGCCTCCGAACAAGCCGTACAGATTCATAGGAATTCCAAAGAGTGCCAGTCCCGACCCGAGACGCCCAGTTGCCAAGTTACACTCTGTTTTGTATCGAGGTGAAGATGATGGTAGCAGCACAATGTTTTCATGATGTCTAAGGCGGCCTGACTATTTTTACTGGCCGTGCTGGTGAACTTCTGGATGGTGATGGTGAGTGCCACTCTTATCGGCTTCGACATGCCTGAGCAGTTAGGCACCACAGCGCGCAATGCACTTGTATGTGGACAATTGATCCAGAACTAGTCCTCGCCCACCCAAGCGCAGCCTGCCCCTGCGCACGGTTCACATACTTGTATGGTCCCCCCAAAGTTAAGATGACTCAGCACACTCTGACGTTCTGCATACAAAGTTGCAAAACACCCAAACCAATGTATTTTTGCACACCCTGGAAACATGGCATTTTTCTAGTTTGGTAGTAAACGTTAACAAATAAAATGTAGGAGACAATAACCCCAGTAAAAGTAAGAAAGCAAGCAAGTAAACAAGTAAAAAGGTAAACATGTAACATTTATGGACCCATAAAAAGTGAAAAACGCAGAAGTGAAAAATCACAACCCTGCAACAAGTAAAGTGTTTCTACTCTCGTCGGTTTTATTGTATTGCTTTTCATGGGTCCAGAACTTTGACATTTTCACTTTTGTGTTTTTGCTGGGGAAAAGTCGAACAAGTACAACTGCCTGAAGTAAAAGCAACTGTTTTTTGTTTTTTGACTTTTATCGGGGAAGAGCAAAAACGTAACACTGCCTGAAGTAAACAAGGTTTTACCTTTGGAACTTTTACTTTTTTACTTTTACTGGGGAAAAGCAAACATGCAAAACTGCCTGAAGTAAAACCAGGTCACTTTTGGGGAGCTTACTTTGTTTTACTCAAGATTCCCGAAACACTTTTGTGTGAAATCAGAAGTCTTGAATCTTGATTCCAGTGGAAACATGCTTTCAAGTTTTGTAAAAACTTCAAAGACTTTTGGGGTGGCCCGGATTCCAGATTCATGGTCAACGCATTGAATGGTGAATCTTCAATCCAGTGGTAGAATACTTTCAAGTTGAAAACCATTCACGTCTTTTAGACAAAGCATGCAAGTTGTTGCCGGTGAGCTTTCTGCTTTGTCTAAGCTATTCTCATTTTGTGTTTCTTTGGCCGGCGCAGTGTTTGCTCGGCATCTTGGTGTGGGGTCCTTACTTCAAAATCTCTTCTCCTCCTCCTCTTCCTCCCCTGCCTTCTCCCCGCTCATGCAACTTACGCACATGCTTGCTCTCGCTTACTCAATTTGCGCTAAGTGTTGCACTAAAAGACTTACACACACACACACACACTTGCTCTCACTCACTTAACTTACACTCGCCTTTCAACCACTGACTCTTGTTCATCCCACCTACACATACTTGCTCTCGCTCATTTCTCACTGACTTAACCGCTCTCACTCTCACTCACTCCACTTGCACATGCGTCCTCTTGCTCACTCAACTTGCACTCACTATTGCACTGACTGACTTACACTACTTACTTTTCACTCACTCAACTAAAGCTCACCGACCTTCAACCCCTCTCACTCCTCTCACTCACTCCGCTTGCACCTTGCACCAGCTTATTCTTGCTCGCTCAATGTACACTTCACTACTTACGCATGAGTACTCTCTCGCACTCAACAACCACTCTCACTCTCACTCCACCTACACATGTGTACTCTCACAACTTGCGCTTACTATTGCGCTGACTGACTTGCACATATTTACTTCACTCACAGACTTTCAACCACTCTCACTCTCACTCTCCACTCGGGCATGTCTAGCCTCGCTCTGACTATGACTCACCGCACGCACGCGTGTGGCTGGCTGCATCTGTAGACTGCCACGTTTGGAGTGGTCGGCTTCTTTCCTGCAGGTGCAGCGCTTTGGGCACGCTGCGGTTGGATTTCGTGGCAGGCTCATGCATACTCTTACTCACTCACTATTGCACTGACTGACTTACATACTGTCTCTCACTTGCTCAACTTACACTGACCGACTTTCAACCACTCTCACTCGCACTTACCATGCACATACTTGTTCTCGCTCACACATACTTGCTCGCATTCACTCAACTTGCGCTCACTGACTTTCAACCATTCAATGCACACATACTTGCTCTCACTCACTCAACGTGCACTCACTTGACACAAAACTAGGCATGTGGGGTTATCAAGTCCTTTTTTGGAGATGATAGGTGCGATGCGGCTGGTTTGTTGGAAGCTCGCAGTCAATTGCAGGGGATTGGGGCTCTCAGCATTGCACAACTTGCACCCAACATATTCTACCGCTGCAACGGTGCGTCGGGCAATGAATGGGGCACTGAAGTCCTTTCGAAGGCATAGAGCAATGCCAACAGTCTGCAACCCGCTAAGACATATAATAAACATACAGCCAGAACTGAAGAGGAGTGCCAATCACAGCCCCTGGATCCGAGAGGCGTACTCCGAATTGCCGTTGTAGCTGCCAGCCCAGGAAGATTCCTGCTCGACCACGGCCAGGCCATTGAGAATGTGGAAGATGTTCTCATTCAGGCCAGATTGATGAGTACATATGCTCGAAGCAACATAGGCAGATCACGAACATCACAGATTGCCAGGTGCTGCGTTCTGACGTTCCGGAGCGATGTGTAGAGTAGCGCACTCACGTGCATGCTTGAGGACAGTCATTCATGTTGCCAAGCAAATGGTTTTTAATGCGAACCGAATCTGATGCTGGATGACTATGACTGACCGGCTTGTAAACACGTAATTCATGCCAACGAAGATCACCGGAACTGCCGACGCAAAATTCGCATACAGCTGCGCATCAGCACAGCATGCAAAGTTTCCATGCACTGTGGAGTGGTGCTTGGTGTTTGAAGAGAGTGGTCGTGCCATCATGCAAATAGGTGTCACAGCCTGCTCACCAATTAAAGCTGTGATTAGAGCTCAGCGTCCAGGCAACCATGTGCTCACGAACAGTGCCGAGCGTCCTTGTTTGACAGGTGTGAGAAAGATTTACTAGTTGATTTACGTCTCACGTTTTAGCATACTTACACTCTGTGAACGGGTGCTTGAGGCTCTCAAATGACTCAGACAGTGAAGACACCATCAACGCTGCAAGCAACATGCTTGATTAGTTTGGCTTCACAACGAAGCTGAAGTCAACCATGCGAGCCATCGCAGCCAGACCCTCAGAGTACAGAATTAAGTCTGGCAATAATGTCTTTCTTGTTTCAGACTTGCATGGCTGGTGCTTTGCATTTGCTGATTGAACTTGGGGAGGTCTGCTTTGGATGTGGGTCAGTTTGACAGATTGAGACCTACTTTCGGCACTTCATACACAGGGGAGCTCATTCGCAGGTGACGTGGCTCCCATGGTGCATCAGGGCATCAACCAATCAGCTCACGGATGATGAGCTGTTATTCCACTGGGAGCGTTTGCCTCAGAATGAGCAGGAGGTGGTGTTGGGCCCTTGTGCCAAACTCCCATTCTGCCCAGCGAAGCCAGAGGCATTGTGTCATCCCAATATGCAATGTCACGGAGTGTACGTAGGACTCTCGCTCTTGATTTCGCTCAGTTGTGCAAGCCGCTGCGCTGCCATGACCGACGCGGATCGGGTGGCAATTGGCTCCATTTACAGGCGCATTACCTGTTCCAGCAAGCTTCCGATTGACGACGGGCACCCAATTAGCAATCCCCTGCTTGATTCCTACAAGTTTCTCCAGAGAAGAGGGCCTCCATGTCTGTTGGGAGTATATTGGCCTGCAAGGTTTATCAATCCGCAGTTGACATTCAGCATCTGCTGTTGTTGTTAGAGGAGTGTCACTCTCCAGGTCTGCCAATTGTGACGTCGGCGTGACGGCCTTGATTATTTTGCTTTCAAGGTGCCAGCAGCAAGCTGTGGCATCCTCACAATCAGATCAACTGTGTCTCCAACATCGTTTTGGTTAGGCCTTGAGTATTGCTTGTTTCCACTCGCTGATGTAAACTTCTTTGGCAATTCCGCAGACGTTGCCAGTGGTTCACTGTTTGTTCTCTCGATGTCTACGGTGCGAGCGATTCACTTGTGGGCTAGAGACTGTTTCAATCTTTTGTTTCAACCGACTTTCCGACTCTCCACGTTTTGCATCGTGACTGTCCGTGTGCCTTAGGGCCCTGGGGCGCACCCGGTCTGTGCTTCATCCCCAGAGCAGCCTTGCCCTCACATGTGCGCTGCAATGTCTCCACTGGACCCTTCACAGCTCGTTTCGCATGAGAGTTGGCTTCTTCACAGCTAAGATTATTGGGAGGCCTTCTTTCCATTGGCACACACCGTATTTGGCAGCTTGTGGTTTTGAAGGCTTTGCGCTGGAATTTGCGGTTTGGCCCTTACTTGTGCCACATCCTCAAAGAGCACAGACTTTGCAGTGCAAATCTATACAAACAGGCAATGCACTGTCACTTGCACACACAATTGGCTCTAAGCGGGTGGTCACATAGATGCCACAAAGGTTATCAGGCGTCGCATAGCGCAATCTGCTTGTTGAGGTGGCAAAGCACAAGATATGGCTGGAGACCCAGCAGAAGCATTGGCAGACTCGTTTTTGCATCCTCAGCCAACAGCTTGACGCCTCAGTTACCAAATATGGCTTGACATTTGGACGACATGTTTGAGGCAGCCATGCTGCGTGATTCTTTTGCTCCTGGCACAGCGAATGCCTGGCCCCAGCAGTGTCAGCGCGGATTGAAACCACACCTAGCCCCATCATGTCTTGGAAGTGGCCCATCACTCAGAGTACTACGATTCGTGGTTTGATTGGCTATCATGCATGAAATTAGTTCACTCCACTGATGTCCTCCTTTTCAAACAGAAGCCGTATATTGCAATCTCATGAAAGTGATTGTTTTGCCATTGTTTTTGTTTGAAGCAAAGGCTCTCAGTCTTGATCATCCCACTTGAGGGATTCTTCGGTCTGACAACACTCCTTGAATGTTACAGTACTCCGGTCCAGGCACGCGAGGATGAATTTTCCGAAGCGTTGGAGGCGCATGTTGTTTGCAGTTGGGCGCGCGGGGCGTTAATGGATGTGGGTTGATGCTGAGTTCGAATATGCCAGGAGCATCACAATTGCGCCTCTCGCTGTGCATCAGAAGGCAGGGCTTGTGTGACTGCTCTCACCCTTCCGAGCGGAAAAGAGATTGCCTCAAGCTAGAGGCCTCGCAGCGCGCAAGGTGTTGCTGTGTCGGTCAAGAGTGCCGGTGCAGCCGGGCAAGCTTTGGAGACATTGCAACGCTGTGGGGTCGTGTTGCAGCCTTAGCTGCGACGGAGCGTGAATGTTGTACCTTGTCCAGTCGCATGTGCTTGACTGCTAGACAGCTGCTGGACGGCTATGACCCGGACAGCCTGGATCGATTTGACAAGGCGAAAGGTTTGCGGCATTGCTCATACCATGCTTCTTCACTGCGGGAAGCACGAGACAAGAATAGTATTTGCACGTCTCGACAGGCCTTCGACCTGTTGAAGTCCAAAGAAAAGGCTTACAAGAAGTTGCTGGACAGGAAGCAGTTACATGATGGTCGTTTCCAGGCCCACACCATATATATATAGATATGAGGTAAGAAACGGAGACAGCTGAACTGGATGGAGCATATAAGCCTGCCAGGTGTACCTACCTTATACAAAGCCTTTCTCCTCACGGCAGACCTTGGGTGTGAGCGACCTGGTTCTGGAGGCCTGAAGCGCTCAAAGACTGAACTTAGACCTGTCACCCCTTTCAGATCTTGACAACGTACTTTGAGGGCAGTGGCAATGGGTTTGGAATTGACCATGCCACAGTGCCGTGCTCAGTTTGCCTGGCTCCATTTCTTGCCAGCTCCGGAAACTTGAGTAGCCAAGGTGCTGACCTCAGCAACAGGCAGCCAGATGCTCAACAAGTTGCCAAGTGGCGTGGCATTCTGGTTCTGACTCTACATAGGTGGAAATCAGAGCTTGCACCCGGACGTCCACTACTTTAAAGCCCCGCCTCAGATGCTTGCGATTAGGATTCTCCCTACGCAAACCCAAAACTGGCAATCTGGCTGTGATTAGTTGTGATTTGCTATGACTTCGAAGCTGCGCCGTGAGAACATGCGTGAGCGAACTGAGGGCTTATCAGTGTCAGTGCACACGGCGCTTCGTGATGTGCCCCTCAAGATGGGGCCAGATCCTGATGGCTGCCCAGCCGCAGTTCGATGCAGCTGCCTGAGGCCAACTTTTTTTTGCCCGTGCACTGGGGAGGCTTTGAGCCGAGAGGCCTGCGACGAGCATTGCGAGTGTGCTACAATGCTTCATATCGCCTGAGTCAGACGGTCGGTGCTAATTTTGAACTGTCAAGCACGCACACATTGACATGACGCTTGTCACTTCATATCGTGAAAGGAGTGGCCGGTGAGCGCAGCCATCAAGATGAAGCGCAGCTGCAAGCAGTAGGCAATTTTGGCCCTTGACCTCGAGCGGGAAATTGGACACAAACCGTTTCATGTAGAATAGAACGCAGATTCCCTGCGTGCAGGCTGCATCTCATGCAGGGAGTCAAGTCGTCACTTGATTGACCCTATACAGCGTAGTAGGTGCTCCCAACTTGCGCCTCACATTGTCCTTTTTGGACACTTGAGGGAAGGCAAACAAAATCTCATCAACTCATGCATGGTACATGGTTCTGCCGCACAGCGCATGCCCTTCTGCTTGCTTTCAGCAAGCTGGCAACTTGACACTCATGCTGGTGCGCAGACCTTGAAAAGAAATTGAAATATGGACAGACAAGTTCGTAGACATATCCAGATACTTTCCAGGTTTATCACCTGTTAGCTGCTCGTCTCTGGCATGTCGTCTCAAGTGAGTAAGACAGGGAAGAGTTGTTGCGGTTTTTGATAGATGGCTCTAGCTGCTCCACCTCAGGACTGTGCTGAAGCGGAAAGATTGAGCTGCCCTCGTTTCTTTTTGGCCATGTGGTTCACAGTCAGTCACACCTTAGTCAACTGGGTGGGACTGTCCATGCTTTGAGAATGTACTTGGAGCAGCCCAGGTCTAGCAAGCAGCTTGGCTCCAAAGTTGACTAAGCGAGGTACTGCGTGTGCCTCATCACAGAGTACTTTACAACCATTGCATTGGTCAAAGATTCAGCAGAGCCCTTGTGAGGTCACCATCTATGACGGGGCTATGTTTCACAAGGCTTTGGGGCAGGTTCATCGAAGCTTATTTTGCAACTCTGCAAGACAGTACCTGATTTGCTTGTGGACCGCAGCCCCACCTTAGCATTGTCGCCATCATTGCAGCTTGTTGGCTTACCGGCTAACCGGCTATCGGCTCGCGCCGAGCACGAGTGCATCAGCAACTGTTGCAACAGGTGGGGAACAGCCGCACTCACTAAGCGTTGAAACTCGCACGTGTGGCCGGCGAAGGTTCCATGGCATTGCGGCCGTACGGCACAGCAACCCGTCGCGGCGCGAGTGAGTCGCGCCCCTCTTTTGCATATTTTCAAGTCTTGCAAGTTACTAAGTTGGTACGTGAGTCCTTGTGCTCCAAGAGATGGGGCGAGCTGAGGAGTTGGTGTGGCCAGAGGCGTGGAGAGTGACTTACTGAAGCACGTGCCAGCTAGCGTGATGGCAAGCTTCCAAGCAGCACACGACTTGAGCCTTCGAGGGGGCGAACTGCCCTTCACGCGAGAAGTAAAAATCAACTGTTTGCGCGTAAGTATGTTGCATTTAATTTGAACTCGCATTCTAGATGAGATAGATTTGCTGGAGCTCAATCCTATATCTTGGAGGTGCAGGTGCTGGTACGGCAATGCCTGGCAGTGGTGATGCATTGACTCCCTTCAGTGGTGATGCATTGACTCCCTTCAGCATGTTCGGTGGGCACGATCCTTTCAAGGAGGGGCAGACAGCTTGCAATCAGCACGTCAGGTGACCACACACACGCACACGCCATGATTCTGCAGGATTTCAGTACACCTGGCTTTGGTGGTTCCATGATGTCCAAGTTTGACAACATGGCGGCGTGGGCCTACATACGAATGACTTGTGACATGCGATATTTGTGCATGACGAGGCAGACATGTTGAAGGGCTTCCCAACCAATGGCAGCATTCCGGGCGACGTGGCTGCATCCGTGAACTGGACTCTTTAATATTATTTGCATTGCTAAGCAGATCGCTTGATGTTCATGGAAGTCGACGTTGAGTGGGCCACAATTTGCAGCACTTGCCCATGCCACCAATGGCAAACCATGTTTCTGATGTCAGGGTAGCAAGCAGACGCGAGGTTATAGCCGTCATCTCATAGACAATCATGAAATTGAGATAGTGGTGCAGCATTTTGAATTTGATGCACTTAGACTTGACGCTTGAGATCAGGCGGCGGGTCGTATTCCTGTCAAACCTTTGCAATGTCATCGATGACTGGCAAGGATGGCAAGGCCAGACAGCATAACCCACATGAGCAAGAGTCAGTTGTTCAGGTGCACACAGAGAGATATTGCTCTTCTGATGTGGGAAATCCTCAACACGGCATCCGAGAAGCACAGCACGCTTATTCCAATTCGACTTCGGGAGTGGTCGCTTGGCGCTTCACCTTCTGAACAGTTGTGTGGAAGAGTGTGCTTTTCATCTCAGGACAAGATGGGACTTGAGCGGCATCTCGGTGAGCGAGCAAGAAAGATGGTGAAGGCGGCGGCCTTGATCGATCCTGTTTGCTCGCGGGTGCTGTGATAAAGCTCATATTGGTTTCATGACAAGCCTTGAAGTTTCTTTGACAGGCACTCGATAAACGTGCAGCATCACGACATGCACGGCAAAGTGTGTAGAAAGGTCTTCTGGATTTATCCCAGGATTCAAACACAGGCTTCGTAGATCAGCAACGTGTTCATGGCAGTGCACAACAAGCAAGGAGCGTAAAGTCGACGGATGAGGGTCAATTTACAGTGACTCACTTTACCTTTCCCAGATGAGCAGCGCCCAACGCCCTTTTTGGCAACTGTAGTAGGGGGCTCAATTACGTTCTCTTTGGTAAAATGGGCGTTGTAAGGGGATATACGGTATGTACGCCTTTGTAACCATGTTGGCCGTCCCCAAAGTCAAAGGGTTTTGGGTGTTGCTCAATGGAGGCCACAGAATTGACAACCAACCACGTCTGCAGCGTCATGAAGGCAGAGACAATTCCTCCTTTTTTCGAAGCCATGAGCTTCTGGAGGATATGATTTATTTTGAGAGTCCCTTGGCCAAGCCAACAATGGCACCAATACTGCACCTTGACCAAAGAAAACTTGCTGCTCCGATCACAAGCAATCAAGAAAGCCATACTGCTAATCAAACTTAACACTTTTGAGCGCATGGTTCATAATTGTCACTTTGTCCTGGCGATCTTATGGCATGTTGTCTTTTGTCAAGTCAATGCTTAAATCATGGGGCTCGACTCGAAGGCCATTTTTTGGCGTCAGTCCTCAGAGGCGCCAGGCGACTGAGCCACAACTCCTGAGTAGCCTAGACACCGGGCGAGCATTGTTCGGGCTACTCATTCAGCTGTTTTATTTGTGCCGCTACGTTTGTTGTGCGCTTTGTTCAGTCTAAGCCGTTTCGATCCACAAAGCTGGATGTCCTGCCCTGCACCGGGTACTTGGCGACCCGGCCAGGAAAGGAACCGAAACACAATGGAGGAGAAGTGCTCTGAGATGCTGCGAGGCAGGTGCAATAAATGAATTGCATGGTGCATTCTTCAATGCACAGCTTTCCTATATGCAGCATTCTCTCAAGCAACATAGTTTATAAAGAAAGCTTCGCCAGCCACCGACCGAAGCTTTGTGCATGTGTTACCAACACGTTTCTTGGGGGTATACCACGACCGGCACCTAACACATTTTTCGCAGACATGTTTTTGCCTGGCAACGGAACCTCACAAAGACTCTTTTGTTGGCCACGAACCTCACCGGCGCGTTTCTTTGGGATATGGATATTCCTTTTTTTGTTGGTCGCGGAGCCGTATAACAGGTGGCCAACACATTTTTCTCGAGCACGGAACCTCGCAAAGATTATCGTTTTGCCTTGCACATTTCTCACGCATATGCCAAGGCGTGGCGTGTTGCTGAGCAACTGTACGCGTTCCTTTGGTGAATCCGACACGAAATGCAGTTGTTTGCAGCCAAAGCAAGAACACACCATGAACAATGACGGTTTTTTGGAGCCTGTTGGATTTTGAGTTTCAAAAGAGCCCGTATTCGACCCGAGATTCTGAGCGCCAACTGAATTCGTTCAGGACATTTTCTTCCATTTACTTTTGAAACGCGCGGCAGAGTGCAAGCTGCCTTTCAAAGCCATCGCGACAATATGCTATTCTGGTCTAGCCCCGATGCAGGGTTTCCCGCGGACAAGTTGAATTGGGTAGTACGGATAGTTTTTGTGCACGCCAAGGGTGAAGTGGCCGCCAAGGGCTTTTTGTTTTGGGCTTGTGGGGCCCAAAAGCGCCCAAGCAACAATCTGACCCCTGCAAGCTGCAATGTCACCAGGATAATTTCGGCTCAATCAGAATTAGCCGGGGACAGCACAAGGATTAGTCGCAAACGCAATCACATAATCGGATCACAATCAAGTTGAGGCAGGTTGGCAACAAGCATGCGCGCAAATAAGATGCAAACAAGTACTTGGACGCAGGATTAGAAAGGACGCTGGGGATGCCTGAAATCCAGGGGTGGTACTGTAGATCCTTGAGACGCCCAACCACGGATTGATCAAATATGTTTTTTGTTAGAAAAACGCAAACTTCCAGCTTAGCTCACTCGTATACAGAGCCGCCTGTGTGAGCCAAAGAAACTGATTGTAGAGTCACCAGTGGGTTTAGGGTCAGTTCAGCATGGATTTCAGGCTGCGTTCGAATAGGTTTAGGGCATGGTGTGTGATCGGTATAGGGTCGGTGTGAGATATCTGTGGGTCGGTGTAGGGTGTAGGGTGGGGGTGGGTTGGGCGTGGTGCTGATGATGCTGGTGCAAAATGCTGGAAGAGCACCCGTGGGGAAAAACAATACGATACCCAATTAAATCGTTACTCGCACCCATTTACATCATTTGGCACGGGAGCTTAATAAATCCATGCAGAGTGCCAAAGGGCCTGCCAGGCGTAACTTTCCTAGGGTTCAAATGAGTCGCCACCCGTGTACAGGGTTCGGGCGAGTTTGGGCTCGGTTTAAGCTGACAAGGTCGCAAGAAGAAGCCACGCCTTGAACGAGCGAAAAGCGACACAAGCCTAAGTCACCAAAAGAAGCGACGAGCCTGAAACAAATGGCCTGAAATCACTGCCGCAGTGCGCATTTGACATCGCAAGACCAAAGAAAGCGAAACTGGAACAACAACGCACACAACTTGAACGAAGCATGGCAACACCGCGATTTCCGGCACCGCATCACGTGGGCTGTGCTTGCTGCAACACGCAGTTTGAATTGATTCGGCTAGTGCAATGTGCAGGAATGGACGAAAATGGAAGGGATCACTTCGAGCGAGACTTTGGAGGTGACCTGCCATATAGCTTATGTGCCTGTGCTTGCAGATTGCAGTCCTCAAGCAAACCGCCTCTTTGCAGCTTCGCAGGCTTGTCACAGCACTTGCCCTCCCATGGGAGGGGCTTTGCTGGAGGGCTTGAGCCAGGCCAGGAGTAGTGGGGTAGAATCAGTCGGTCCACGAATCCCTAAAGGCCATGGGATGGCGTTGCGACATTATGCAGCGTGTATTTAAGGGCTACCGCCCGGTGCCGCCAACCCCCCCCCCTGCCAAACTAGCATGATCTGCTTTAGCCTGGGAAAGAAGCCAGCGCGAGCTAGATGAAGATGCTTTCATGAATCGTCATCGCCTGGCCGCGCGACCTTTCCTTTGCCGTGGGAGCAGCTGCTGCAAAACCTGCAGGAAGCAGGGGCAGGCAGCCAAGACGCAAGACGCTGCCGCCGCTGCCGCTCATCCGAGCTAAGCTAGTTTCGGATGAGCATGATCCCAAGCAAATTTGGGTATCGTCGTAGAATCCCCTGCGTCACCATCCCCAGCATCTCTAGCGTGGCAAACCCTGCATCTCCAACTGCGCCGAACGAGATGTTTGAAAACAAGAAGCATACGACTGAGATGGTCCACATCCAGTTTAATCATCGTCGTTTGTGAAGTACAACAAGAGATAAGCGAGCAAGTACGAAAGGGATGCAA